AGAGGGCAAGAACTTTGCATCGCGAGCGTCCAGCAGGGCAAGTATGTCGCTTCGGCGAAAGTCAACCGTTCCCGTGCGGATCGGCGCACCGACAGACTTCAGAAGGGTTACCACTTTGCCAGACAACATCTCGTCGGGATTCCGTCCGCTAGAGCTGAGCTTTGAGAGCCCTGCCAACAGCCTGCCTGAGCTTCCCCTCTTTAACGACTATGGACTTGAGCAACAAGAGGCACCAATTGCTCGGCCCCCGAAAGCCCTTTCTTCCATGACTGACTTTTCCTACCAAACTCGACCCCGCACTCACCGGCCTACATCGTCCTTCCACCTGCCTCGAAAGCCCGTGGGATCTGGGTCCCGCCGGTCGTCACTTGCAACGCTGGAAATGCTCATGGAGAGGCAGGTCCCCGTCACACATCCTCTGATTCCTCATTTCTGTACTCGTGCTTCGACTGCATCTGTGGCCACTGGTCTGGCTACAAGTACTTTTACTTCACCTCCCACTTGGCCGGACCAAATCGTGGACAAACCCTTGCTAAAGGATGATCCTCCGCGAGCGTCACACGATGCTACCACAGTTACCCCAAGCGCTCCCAGAACGCCTCGAACAGCAACACCCCCGGACAAGACGTTGCCACCCATCCCTATCAAGACCCCTTGCCCGCCTGGTAGATTCTCCTACGATCCTCCCGCAACCCCGGATACTCAACCCCTCGAGTCATCCCCCAGTCCGTCTCCATTCCGATCCAGCCGTGTAACCCAATGGCTCCTCCAAACCTCCAGCCCCTCAAAGCTCCCCTCGACCCCGCCTCCACACCCGCGCAAGCCCAGCTTCAGCGACAAGTTCTCCATGCGCATTCGCACTCGAACCCTTAGCGGGTCCACCCTCTCCCCATCCATCAACAGCTTCAATGTCCCCGGCGCCTTCAAAACTCCGGTGACAGCAGCTACCCCTCCACTGTCACACACAACCACGGCAGCAACAATCACAACAGCGCGAACGTCCACACTCGACTCGCGGCTCGAGATGCCTTCCGAGATGCCGTACGCTTACCCTATGCCTATGCCTGTGCCAAAGCAGACGCAGTCCAGCAACCTGTCCGGTATGCACAGCCGCGCCGGCCCAACAATTCACGAGGGGCAGCACAGCTACAGCTTCTATAATCATGACCATCACCGCCATTCCGCCATTGGTGTTGCTTTCTGAATTTGCTTCCTACCGCTTGCTTTCTTGCTTGCCTGGACGTCTTTTTCCATACCCGCCACTTCGCTTATATATAGTAATTTACCCCTAATATACACCACGCTAGATAAGTAGTGTTGATATTGTCCCTCTTTCTATGCGCCCCACTCTAGTCTTTCTCAACAATAAATAGTCAAGTGGGATGGCACTCTCCTCCAAGTTCCGATCGTTTCATCGTTCTAACCAGAAGACCCAAATCTGCGGCGCCATTCCATCTGTAGTAATTAATCCCCGCTCTCAGAAAAGCTATCAAGTGCCAGCATATAGTAAATCGAGACGTACCACCCTCATACACAACGACCTCTGAGTGTGACAAAGGGACTGAAGTCTCAGTGCAGTCGGCGCAAGAGGACGGAGCAAGCGTGGGTGCACATATCCTTCCCATCAGCCAGCAAAGAAGTGGTGGGCATCTATTCGGGGCTTAGTAGGACTCTGAAATCGCGGCTGCGTATGGGGCCTCTCTAAGTGAGCATACTGGAGCTGGGTAGGAGATTGGCACCTTATATGGGAATCAGTACAAGTTGCAAAAGTAGAATGTTTCATGCTCACTCTCCGATGGAAACGGCCGAGAACCGCCGGCCCTCCGGACGTGGCCCCCGCCTGACCACCCAGTCTACGTTGGAAATGGACCTTGACCAAGTGATTGAAATTTTCACATGCGAAAGGATACCAAAACTGTGTTTGTGAATGAAAAATGGGATCGGAAAAGAGCATATTTCAGGCAAGAGAAGACACCGGCATAGGTACCATAGTAGTAACACAACTGCATGGTTGCCGACTAATAACGGTACCCCTACACAACTGTACTCCGGTCTGTGAAAGGTGCAAATCGCAATCCCTCCCAGGCCACGGCTGTTCCAACGAATGTGATGCTGCTCCGTGCTGTGGATGTTGCCATCCAGCTGAGATGTCCGCTGATGCTACGGTATCCCATGAGGCCAATGGTCTTCACCCGCAGGTATGACCTTTTGTTTCTCTTATCAGGTTCAAGTACTAATCATATACTTGTTTCTAGATCCAGTTCCCTGATATGAAGTCAACGATGGGTCTACTTGTAGACTTTCTGTTCTCTGATAGAGAAACTCAAGTCAAATTCAACCGCGGAACTAGCCAAACTGTTATAGCAGCCATTGGCGGTCCGGAGGCCTCTATTGATGTCATGTACGAGACTATCAATCCCGAGATCAAAACATTAGAAGGCAAAATCATTAACCCCCGGGATGTATGTGATAACCTCCTCCCCATTGCCACGCCTGGGCTAATTGAGTATACTAGGTTACATGCAATTCGGCCGAAGCAGGCAATGACTGGAGAAATCTAGAGAGACCCCCATGGGGCTACCTAGATTTTGTAACCCATGCTTATGAGCACACATACTTAAGCTTCTACGTTGGTCAATCCAAGCAGCCAGAAAACCGATTGCCAGAGCACACCAAAGAGATTAGGAAAGGATCGACAGGTAGTCTTCACTACTATATTCTCAAAAACGGTGAGGGCTTAAGGATAGCCAATTTTATTTGGCTATGGGCAATCCCTTTCCCTCCGCGAACTAATAACATGATAAAAGTTATTGTTAAGAACTTTTTAGAAAAGGTTATGTATCAAGCTTTCCAGTCCCCTCCCTGCAGCTACCCTAAAGGAAACTTTTGGGCCCTGTCCACAAGGTCAATACTCGGGAATAGGTCTAAATTTGGTATCTCCTTTAATCCAGGGAATACCTCTAGACCCTCAGACTAGACGCCAGATTGCTGAGCGTCTACGTGAATCCCCAGATCCCGAGATTTGCCAGTGGCCGGACATTCGAAAGAATCGTCCAATGAACTGGAATTCTGGCTCTGATGGACTACCCTCCAGACAATATATGGATAATCAGAGCTACTATGACGCCATCCACCGGGCAATTGGGTCTAGCTTATCTTTGGAGGAATCTACCTCTATTCAAGTTGGCGAAGAAATGTGGGCGCCTTTTGAAGGGGAGCTCGCGGATTCTCAATCCTAGGCCCAGTTCACATTCGGCAAACTGCAATGAAACGAGGATGAGACGGCTAGTCCCGTGGGGACCTCCGAGGCTTGCATTGGTGTAGTCTTTGAGACTACGCCGCTGCAAGGCTACAACGAGAATGGAAAACTCATCAGTGTCCCCTGGGGTTTGCGGGAGAGTGGCCTCCATGAGACAAACTCCCTGATCTGGCCATTTGATCTTCGGAAGTATGATCATATTCCTGGAACCTTTAAGTTGCTCCATATCGTCCTGCTGATAGTGAGCTTCTATACAATGCTACACAGGAACTTATTGCTGGAAGCCGCCTGAAAGTTGTGATCATGTGTGGGAATATTCAAGGCACTATAGTCCCGCGTCATGCGAAGGCAATAACTTTGATATTGAATGACATAACCTATGATAGCTAGATTGAGATCGGACAACACAAGGTCGCAAGAATATTAATTCGTGCGTTAATGCCTCTCTCTAAGCTATGGGCTTGTCATAGGAGACAGGCCTTTAAACTATCAACTATCTTCCTATTCATGTCCGCCATGACTAATCTCAAGATCTACCCTACCTTCTATGAGTCTGCCGTGTCACTCACGCTGGTTGTTCGGGGGTTAGATAATGAGAGAAAAGGGAGAATCTGCCAGGCTAGTCCAGTGGACCTTGAGCCTCTAATAAGGACCTGGCTCGCTGACAAGGGTTTCAAAACAGACGAAGACCTTTTACGCTTAGCAGAAGCCACTGGTTCCTTGCGATACGGAATCTTCGTTCTTAGCTTGACCCTGCCAAGAAGGAAAGGTAAAGAGACCCTTCCTCGGAAGGTCTCCGCCTCAAGGACAAAGCAGCGCGATGTCGTTCCAAGAGAAATTCTTGACAAAGTTCGGTTGCTTCGAGAGGAGATTTGCGGTCACCAATGGACGGATGTTGAGCCCATCTTCGAGGCGGTTGAGACCCCTGTTGACAACGGAGATCAAGATCTTATCACTACTGGTCCAGCTCTGAGCGAAATCTTCATTGAAACGGAAACTGAGGCCATCTTCCAGGCAGTTGAGATCCCCGCTGGTAACAAAGACGACCAAGATGTTTCCTCTACTGGTCTAGCTCTGAGCGAGATTTTGAGTGAACGAGACTCTCCCATATCATTCAAAGTACGATTTGGCTTGATGGCTGGCCATAGATACCAGATCAACAGCACAGGATCAAGAAAGTCATTTTCAATCCGGCATTGCGCAATTTCATTCACCATGACTGAGCCAGTCGAGAATGGGTTCTTTTGGGTAAAGGCCGAGATCTCACCTCAAGGAGAAAGACATCCCCTTGCATGGGCTACCAATGTACCTGATCAGGACCCTGGTGCTCGTCTGGCTTTCCGAAATTATCACAAGGATGCAGACAACAACGAAACATGGTCAACATATCCTTCTTGTAGTACGCAGGAAACATGCTGCCAGGCAAATATTCTCGTGGACGCCTTCGAAGGCGATACCTATATAGACATCTGCCAAAAGCCCCGGAGACACGTCTATATTGATGACAGAAACAATGGCCTTATAAAGAAGTATTCACAGTTGGTTCCTTTTGTTCGCGGTGCCTACACAGGCAACGATATGTTGATGACCCCTGCCCAGAGCAGACTGCAGTGGATGAAACGTAAAGGCCGATGCAACAACCCTGATACAGGCAAAAAGAAAAAACGGCAAGGAGAGTAGAACGATATATAGGAGAGGGTCCAGAAATATAAATGAATAATTCGAGAAACAAACAAAAAATCGACAGCAGTGTGGTTCGAACACACGCCTCCGAAGAGAGTAGGTTAACTTTTCCCTTTCGGACTTTCCGTTGCCGGAATTTCCGTTTCTGGGATTCAAGCCTACCGCCTTAGACCACTCGGCCATACTGCCTATTTAGTATCTAACCGGCAACAAGCATATATTATATATTAACTGATGTGGGCGAAAGTTGTCCTTGACAAAAGCAAGGTCCGCCTTATGATTACGCCTTATATCCAGGTTTGAGTCCGAATTCTCCAATCCGAATACCCTCTTTGGTTTTTTTGCGTCTGCATTGTGCCACTCATCCATTGTACATATGCGCAAAGTGCGAGATGGTCAATGTACATACTGTCAGTCTTAGCCCTGATATATCCCACGTCTGAACTACCACATAGCTACCGTGGTTGTAGATGTAGAGGCTCGTCTACTGTACGTACTTACCCAGCCAGATGGATAAATGTGCCTCAAACTTAAGCTAAATTGCTCTTTGAACTAATTGTCATGTCCCTAGGGTAAGCTAATTATGAAACAAACCACGGAACCAAGTGCGCTTCACAGAAGAGGACACAGAGTGGACTATCTGCAAGCACTAGGATAATACCATTACTGCAGACCTGCGTGAGCGTGAGCTATACAAGAATAGACTTTGTTGGTTGTTTCGCCATTAAGGGGGTCCGTACATAAGCAGCATGATTGTAGGAGGATGGTTGTGCAAGGGGATGCAGCGCATAAGGTAAGTATCCTCCTACAACCACATAAACCCGACAGGAGAGGACGGGAATGTGGCCAACAAGATATTTAACGTTAATGCCCCCCATGATCGCCCAAGGCGGAAACCAAGCCATCAAGGCCGTCGCGGCGTTTATGAACGAGCTTGTCGAAGTTTGATTGTTGGATACAACCACCACATGTTAGAGTTGTGGCTGTGCCGAGGGCATCAAGTCTGATTCCTTGATTTCAAGCCGGAATGACCAGACATCTACTCAAAGCTCAAACAGAACCATAATCGAACTCGGTCAAATTTTCACCTCACTCAGCCTCAGCATGTAGTCACCCAGTCTACGTAACCCTTCCACCTAAACTAAACTAACAAATGCATACTCATCGAGGTATATAGGCGATAAAACAGAACAAAAGACAAGCACAATCACAACCAATCCAAGACAGCAGATACATTCAAGCAGGACTCCGAGAGGGGAGAGCGACGAAACCAAGTCAAGGACCAACCAATAACAACTGAACATAACTAGAATATAAACACCGGCATACACCATCATTTCACTTGGTATCATATATCGATAGAATGGTCTTTGAACGTGGTCTGGCTGCTGTTCTTTCACTCGTGCTTCCGAAGACAGGCAGGCAGCGCCCTCGGGTTGATGCGGGGTTTCACAGTGACTGAACGGGCGGTCCATACTCCATAGGTTGGGAACAATGGCCAGTGAAACGGTAGGCATTGACGTCAAGCTCATTCCCCCACCGCCAGCCGAGGCATTCTCTGTAATATCAAAGGTATCAAAACAAGACAAAAAAAATCCGAAGCAAAATTCGCTCGTAACAATGAGTAAAAACTGAATTTCTCTTGGGGTATACTGCTGCAAATTGACATTGATTTTAACGCGGTGGCCCAATAGGGGCCGGGTATCCAGAAGTAGAATTGGAAGTGCTAGGACGACCACTATCAAAAGACGCCCGGAGGTCATGTTTGGGGGTCATGTCCCCCGGCGCGGTACCGAATGGAAATTTCGTGTCAAAGCGCGCGGGCCAGCCATTGCTGCTGCTGTGGCTGTGGGAGCTTCCAAGGGCGGGCAGGTCGTCCTCGGGAAGGTTCACGCCAGAGTCGTTCCACGGGTTGCGGTACCCGCTGTCCCGGGACTCCATCGAGACTAGCGATGCCTTGGAGGCATTGCTAGAGGCGTGCTTGAAAAAGGAAGCGGGAGATGCCGAGTGATTCTTGCGGCCGATGAACGAGGAGAACGAGGAGATGCTACCGGGCTTGCGGAGCCGCTCAAAGATAGATCCACGTTCGCTTGATTCGTCGTTGAAACTCGGCCGAGTCGGCGAGTCTGTCGCGAGTGGGGTGGGCGCATGCTGCAACAGCTTCGAGTCGAAGAACGGCAAAGAGTCCTCAAAAGAGTCCGACTTAGGTCGCGGGATGGCTCCTTTGACCGTGGTGGCGTCGAGGCCGTGGGCAACTAGTCGGGAAATCAAAAAGTCGATTGCGTCCTTCAATCCACCAGCATTGTTGCGAGTGTAACCGAGTACGACACGGTCCTCGGGAGGGAAGGTTGGCGACTCCGAGCCGCTCTCAGGCACTGAAGGCTCAGGGCTGACATCCACACTGGTATCCACCTCGTACTGTTCCTTGAGTTTAATGCATACGTCCTCGCGGAATTTTGTATCCTGGAAAAACTCTCGCAGCTCGGGAGAACTTTGGAAAAGGAGCTCGTGGCTTTCAGGTACCATTCCCTGGAGAAGTTAGTGAAGTCGGAAAGGAAAATATACAGTTAAACATACCAGCAAGGCATCGACGGCCTGCGGAACCTGATATTCAGGTCCAGAAATGGTAACAACATCACTTGCCAACTCTGTGCTTGGGAACTCAATCTTGCAGTTCCACTTCTTCTCAAGCTCATCAATTTCCGACATGCGGGCGAGTAACTCGCGATGGTACAGTCGGTTAACGACGACGCGTTCAGAGACATACTCGGCGTCCTACGAAGATCAGCGACTATAGCAGAAAGATGTAAGTGAGAATACATACCACTTTTTCGACCATGTCCATGATTTCCTGCTTGACTAGATCCAGACTCTGCGCATTCCGTGCAGGCGTACGGCAGATGACGTTGTCAACCTTGATATCGTCGTCGTCTTTACCCATACCGCCGCGATCCATGGCATTGGAGAATTTGACGAACACAGAGTACTTTTTCATGATACGCTGAATATGCTGGCCGCCAATGCCGATAATCCGCTTGTGGTATTGGTCAGGCACGTGGAAGGAGATTGAGGCCGGCATTTCTTGTTCAACAAGATCAAGACCGTTCTTCGTGGATTCGTACTGGTTTCCACATACGTCGATGTAGAAATTGTACTCATTAAAGCCATCGAAGATAATCTGAACGTTGCCTTTTCAAGTTAATATGAGCACTATCAAATGCGGGCAGCCAACTCACTTTGTCCCATGATCTTGTTGATTTTGCCATTCTTTTTGCCGCTGACAAACTCCTTGTGCTCGTTCGCCAACTCGATCTTGACTCGCATTTGGTATTGGCTACGCTGGACGAAGGGAATCTGATTGATAACCATCATGGCCGCTTTGACTGCGTCGTCCGATCCGTTGATGGTAAAGTTCAGATTATCGAAGCTGACTTCAGCGCCGGAATTGGTGCAGATATCGGAGAGCATTGTTCGCACTTCGGCGGGAGAAGGAGTCCGAGCTGCTCCAGAAGTTGGGTCGGGAACAAGAATCCACCACGAGGCGCTGTAAAATTGGCCGGCCTATCCAATGGTTAGTCACGTTAGAGTATTTGATATCCAGCAGACGCACCAAAGCCATGATCTCCCTGACGGTGCGCTCAACGTGCAGAACATCGGTTCCTTGAACGCGCACGCATCCCCGTTGGCTGCCAAGCGGAGGGAAAAGCACATAGGACCCGTTCATCTCCATCACCTTCCGGACCTTGTCCAACCGGTCGAGCAGAATATTATCGATCTTGTTCGAGTTGACAGAGACATCCTTGACATAAACTTTCACCCCCATGACCAGTTCATGCAGCTTCTGCTTAGCTCGAGCAATCTGCTCTTGGGTATCACCCGTAATGTAGACCTCATCCTCGCTTCGGCGGTGGGCTTTGGGCGGTACGTAGCCGAAGATGCGTGGGAACGGCGGAGGGAAGTAAATGGCTGTGCCGGTGGCTGCTTCGATAAGCTTGATATTCTTGCGAGTCCGGCCGCAGACCAAGGTATGAGTGGTGAGTTCCAGTTTCAGTGCGTCCACGTGACGTTTGAGCTTTTTCCAATTAGCAGATGACCTCAGAGAGTGGGAGGAACAAAACACACAATTTGGTCAATCATGATCAAGACTCTCGTCTTAGCGTGTTCCGTACTCTCCATGTCTCCATAGATGCAAACCCGAAAGCGTTGTTCTAATCCACTGTCGGTGGCGTATCCATACGATGACACAACGGCACTATCCGTATCGCGGAGTTTGGGGCTGAGCAGAAAGATGTCGGTGCCGGTGTAGCTCGCTAGAGTGTCCAGGTGCTCCAAAACAGCGATTCGGACCTTCTTGGTCGCATTGTCCCAGATAAGGTGCATGTCAACGTCGACGGTCGCACATCGCTGCGGAAGCGGAGGTGTTAATGAGAGAGGAAAACCTTGCACCAAAGACAAATTCTTGAATACAAGTACGTACCAGTAAGATAGGCGTCTCATTCAGGACTTTGGCCCGCATTTTTCGCACAGTCTCTCCATCTCCGGTGATGCATACATTTGTAGCGAGCCCTTGGGGCCGGCGTTGCAGGGATGGGACTGTTTTGGGTTCCGAGGAGCTGATGAGAGCCTCAACCCTGCCATTGCTGCCCTCCGTAATTTGGGCACACAATGTCCGTAAGCTTTCAATATTGCTGAGATGTACCGGCAGCTGGTGAATGGGTGTCCCTTCGGGAGTGCCCTCAGGGAAAGACCACCGCTGAAGAGCATTGGGACTGGCGTGGATCACGTCATCCGTGTCGGGACCTGCGAGGGTAGAGGAAAACGGCACATTGAAGGAGAGGTTGACGGTGGGATCGATTCCGGTGGGCGGAGTCATAGGTGGTGCGCCGTGAGCTCGTCGAAGGGAGTGCGAGGCCATCTCGGTGTGAGGGCGCGACATGCCAAAGGCTGGTGTCATTCGTTCCCAACCATGACGGGCTTGACCCGTGAAGTTGGAGATCTTGTGCATAATCGAGCAGATCGAATCTCTAACCCCTTGAACGAATCGAGGGGAGAGAGACGATGGGAGTCAGGCGTGAGAGAATCGCGAGTGGCCGAGCGGGATGAAGAGGAACGGGAGGAGAGGACGAAGCGGAGGGAAAGGGGATCGCCCAGGGGTTTGAGGGCGCCGTTCTCGACAGGGATGAGGATGG